GCTGACAGGTGGGCGGACACCTTCGCTTTGGGTTCCATCCACGTGGCGAAGCCTCTGCCGTGAGGCACGTGCGTGTCGCCGAGCTTGTCCCGCCCCCGCCGGCTCCGGCCCCCCCGCCGTCTGCCACGCCGCCTGCGTCTGGAACGGGCTGTGCCTTTTTGCAGACTTCGGGTTGTCGTTCTTAACCTGTCTCTTCTCTCGTAGACGCCACCTCGGGGTATCTGTCCCTGCTGGACGCCGACTTCGACAGGAGGCCTGCGAACCCGCATTTGGCGAGGGCCGTGAACTACACCGTGCGTTTCCAGGCAGCCCGCTGCCTGCTCTGGGACACGGGCGAGTGGGCGTCCGGGGGTCCCTGCCCACAGCCAGGAACTTCCCCGGAGAGAGTGAGCTGCAGGTATGGCCTTCAGTAGGTGGCAGCCCTTTCCCCGTGTTTGGCCCTGGAGCCCCCGACCTTGTCCCCTGTAGAGACCGAGCAGCCTGAGCAGGTCGCGGCCTGCAGGAGGCTGGGGCTGGCGTTTCAGGCCCCTCTGTGCCCGGCCCCCCCGGCGGCTGGCAAGCAGTGAATGGGGGGCCGTGGGGGGGCGCCCAGGCCGGTCGGCTCCGTCGCGAACACGCTGGGCCACCACTCCCGCTGTCCTGGCCGTGTCCTCGCGTGCCCCGCCCCCGTGGCTGTGAAGGGGAACTTTGTGACACCAGGAAAGTCCCTGCACGGAGTCCGGCCGCATTCTCAGTCCTGTCCTCAGTCAGAAATAAGCAGCGCGGACGATCCGGTCGCAGGCTGCTGTTGCTGCTGTTCATTAGAACTGAGAATGAGCAGTTACCAGGCCCGTGAGACACACCCGTGTCGTCTGGAGCAGAGCTGGGTCACGGAGGCTGTTTCCTGGTGGCCCCGGGAGGCAGGCCCGTCGGGCCCTGGCGCGTAGGGTGTGACCCATCTCCACGTGTCACCTCCGCTGTTGCCCCCTTTGAGTCTACACACCCCGAACACCCAGAGCTGCGGGAACAGCTGTGTCCCTCGATACTAAACTTCTTTAACGCCCGACGCGGTCAGCCGCTCCCCATGACGCTGTTCTCCGCGGGGCCAGGGGGGCGGAACGAGCTCCGCGAGGGCCCTGCTCCCAGGACACTGTGCGGGGCAGGTGCCGTGTTTCAGAAGCCGGTCTGTGGAGGTCGTTGTGGCAGGAGCGCTCAGTGACAGGACATCTGCGACTCCAGGACGGGCGCGCAGGCGGGGTGCCCGGTGTCGGCCCCCAGCGGGCTGTGGCACCGAGCCCGAGACGCTCTGGGTTCAGGCGGGACCGCAGAGGGGCCTTTGCCGTTGAGATGTCTGCAAGAGGCCCAGGTCCGCAGCGAGGACAGTGTCGGGGTGGCCTCGGAGCCGCACGCGGACGCAGACGTGACACGTCTGTGGTGTTTTGTTCCCAAGCCGCGTTTTAGCTGGCGACTTTACCCCAGATCTAAACCACAGGGTTGTTCCCGTGGGGCCCTGTCACCCCGCCTTCCGCAGCCACGCCTGGAGCCCTCACCCGCGTCTCCCTCCTAGCTACGACCGCCTGGCCACGTTCGCCGTCGCGAGAAGGAGCCTGAACCCCAGTTTCGAAGCGAGTGACGTTTCCGCGTTTCAGAGGTGAGTTCCGTTTCCTGAGTCAGGACGAAGCTTCGCCTGCACCGCCGCCCGCTCGGGCTGCCCACGCGTGGCTCTGCGGGCGCCCGACGCCCGTGCCACACGTCACCGCTCTCCGCTGGGGCACGTGTCGTCAGGAGGTTACTACGTCCCGCACGGACGGGCGGTGCGTGAGCACGCGGAACGAGCGTGCTCCCCGTGCAGCGCGAGCGCGTGCGACGCGTCCCTTGCGGCCGGCGGGGTCAGCGTCTGCAGTGCCCGCCCCTCCTGTCCTGGTCTATGTTATTGTCATGCTCCCTCTTTCTCGTCAACGGCGTCCGCTCCAGGTGACAAATTTAAAGTTTGTTGTTTGCGGGAAGCAAACACGTTTAGGCCTGAAACGTGGGCGAGTGGAGTGTGAGCTCGTGCGGGGGGCCCTCCACGCCCCACTGGCCCGCCGCCCGCATGGGGCGCCAGGGTGCGGTGGCGGAGCCGAGCCAGCGTCTGCCGAGCGATGTCGGTGGCAGCACGCGCCTCCTGTGAGTGCTGGGTATGACGCCATGGGGACGTCACCTCGCTTCCGTGTTCAGTCAATCATCTGATAGTCGACTACTTTGTAGACCAGTGGTGGGTCCGATGGTTAGTGACAAGAAGTTAATTCCTGACGTCACAGATGCCATGGCTGTGACAGTCCCCAAGAGCCCCGTGATCAGGACTCAGGCTCAACCGTGGGTGCCCCTGCGGGGAGAGGGGGCAGCCCTTGGGGCGTCCAGACAGGAAGGTCGCCTGGAGTCAGGCGGGCAGAATGGTCCGGGGGTCGGGCATGTCCAGGAGGCTCCAGGGACCGTCCGGCTGTGAGCGGGTGGGCGGAGGCAGCGGAGCCATGAGCTCCCGCTGAGCTGGTGGCTCAGAGCAGGGCTCTGTCCCGGGCAGGAGTGTCCGGCAGAGAAACGAGGAGCAGAGCCCGGCCGTCGGGCGGGGTCAGAGCACGGGGTGGCAGGGCAGGGGACAGCGTCCTCACGCAGCTCAGGCCTCGCGCCTGCCCTGAAGCCCCACGAGCGGCACAGGGCTCTTCCCTGGTTAGGGCTCCGGCCTGCCTGCCTTGCTGCAGACCCCACGCTGTGGGGCTGGGGGCTCGGTGGTGCCCGCCAGCACTGGGCCTGGGGACAGGAGCTGAGCGGACGCAGCAGGCGGGGGCAGTGCCCCCCAGACCCCCGGCCCAGGCAGCTGCTGCTGCATCTCCCGCCTGTGCTGGGCGGGAGGGGACCTCGGTTACACCTGCTCGTTGAAGCTTTTGCCCTGCGTCGCGTGGTGACGGGGGTGGCTGCCCGTACCCGTTTCATGACAGTTCCACAGGGAGGACCAGGGTCCCCAGCGGCGCAGTTTCGTGACGCGAGCCTGGCCCATCCTGGGGCCTTCACGCTCATGCTCCTGGTTCTGGCTGCTCTGTGCCTCAGGGGCCCTTAGGTCAGCCTCGTGCACCTTCCCTCCGAGGGGCTCAGCGGCCACGAGCCCAGAGACAGTGAGGCCACGTGTCGTGCACCTTCCCTCCGAGGGGCTCAGCGGCCACACGCGGGGCCACCCCACCCTCCCCTGTCCCTTCTCGGCCACCTCGCCAATAAGAATCCACTTTCCTCTTCCAGTTAGACAGATCAGAGAAGACAGCGCGCTGTGTGTGTGCGAGTCGTGTTAGCCCTGTGTGCATAAGTGTACATGTATCTGCATGTGTGTATTAGTGTGTGTGCATGTGTATCTGCATGTGTGTGAGTGCGTACGTGTTAGCCCGTGTGCATACGTGTGTGCATGTATCTGTGTGTGTGTGCGTGTTAGCTCTGTGTGTATCTGCATGTGTGTACATGCATGTGCATGTTAGCGCCATGTGCCTATATGTGTGTGTAGCTGCACGTGTGTGTATGCTAGCCCCGTGCGCATACGTGTGTGTTAGCCCTCTGTGTATACATGTGTGTATCTGCATGTGTGTCCTGTTAGCTCCGTGTGCATGCATGTGTGTGTGTCTGCATGTGTGTGCGTGCGCGTGTGTGTGTGAGCTGTGCTGTGGGATTTGGGCCTCTCTGACGGCGTATTGTCTTCAGT